AGATAAATATAATAAGAGTAAAATAAGACTTAACATTAATTAATCTAAATCTATGGTACAACCATACCAATATGTAAGGGGTTAAAATACATTTGTACACAAATCATTCCCTGACCCCATCAATTTCTCTTAGAATAGGATGGATATATATATATATATATATATATATATATATATATATATATATATATATATATATAGTGATAATGACTTTGGCTTATATCTGTGTACTCAGAACGTACACTCACTTCAGGTACACCTGAACACCAAAAATTAAATGTACAATTAATGACACACTATACATCAAGCTCATTAACATTATTGAGAAATAGACAATTAATATGTATTTTGTTAATATTAACGTTAGCTTAAAATAATTCAACTGCATTTAATTTTCAGCTCCATTTAATAAAACAGTTAAGACTCATGTCATTATGAGTTTAGTTTAAATAACTAACTTACAGTTGAAAAATTTTACCATAATGATAGCTTAGTTATAATGACTATGTGAAGACCAGAGCTTACCTTAACGGTAAACGTTTAACTTTTCATGGTGACTTCGCCTTCATCTCAGTGTTGTGCTGAAATAGAGAATGCATTAATGCAGTTACAATAAGTTAAAGTTATGTTTTTTTCAGGTAACTTAACGTATGGTCAAAAACTCACTCAAGATAAACTCACTGTATCTAATACCTCGCAAACACTACAATGACCGCCTGGCGTCTGTTATTTCTTGTTTAAAATACCGTTTGTTAACGGATAGCGTGACATAACATAAGAACCTACAACTAATGTCACTTGGTTATTTGTTTAAATTACACACACAATACACAGAAATACTTATAAAACAATCCTTTAACGGACAGAATTTGACTTTAAAACACTTACCGAGGATGAATTCGCTGGATGAAAGACGACAGGTGAATTTCAAATTAGGAGAGCCGTTGCCTGCATGTCGAGTCGTGTCCGTTCGGTTCTATGAATCGGCTCCTTAACAGTAAAGAATCGAATCCGCCTAAAACCGATTCCTTTTTGTATATGATTCTTTACTATTTCGTTATACTGCTTGGCCACACGCATTTATACACTAATTGTACACTAATTGCATATTGCTGAATGTGCTTGTGAACACGTGTGATCAAATAATTCCCGAGCAAACGGTTCAATACGATTCAGAGTTGCTCGAGTGCTGAACCGAACCAGTGCAAACGTGATATTTATTACAATATAGTAACATTGTTTTTTATTCACTTTACCAGCGAAATTATTACATATATCTGACCTTGACAATAAGAATAAAGTTCGTTTGAAGTGTTTTGAGAATTATATATAAATATATATATTTTTTTTTTCTCCCAGAATTCATTTCACATCAACAAGCAAATGGTAATGGCGGATGAGAAAGCCTAGCTAATATTATAAATATTGCGTTTAATATGTCACGAAATGAAATTTTAACAGTGTTTCATGCGAGAATGTAGTTCTTACAAACTCAAATCTGTGGTTTATTTATAGATATAATGCGTAAATTTTAAGCGTGCTTTGCCGATAGCGGAGATTCTGACCTCCAGGGTGTCCATCATCACTCATGTATCCGGCGAAACGAGGTTATAATCGGCTAGACATGTGAGACCCCGGTCTTAGATGGCTCTATAATGAATGTGTTATAAAATTTAGTTTTAACCGTTTTTCATGCGGGAATGTAATTGTTTTAAACTCAAGTCTGTGGTTTATTTATAGAGATGGTGGGTATTTTAAAATATTGTTTTGAAAATGCGGAGATATGTGACCTCCATGGTGATGACGGGTTCCCTAACCTCATGAATCCGTCTAAAGCAGGCTGGTCATTTTGACATTTAAGCTGACTTTGGTTTCATGATGAATCAATTACTTTTGTTCCAGTTTACGTTTTGGTTAAGCACAAAGTTATGTTGATTAAAAATGATTTAATATTTTCATGTTAACCTTATAAAATTAAGGTGCAGTACACCCAAATATGGAAAACCAGGGGACAGTTTTATGCACTGAACAGTCTGAAGAAACTGGTTATTTTATTTTTCTTCACAAAATACTTTGTCAAAAAATAAAATAAACATAATAATAATAATATAAAGTGTGTGTAGAGTTTTTCATGGTCATTTGCAGTACTGTATTTAGATGCACAGTAACTGATTTTTTCCCAAAATTCATTGTAAAATCTGCAGTAGCATACTGTTAATCATGTTCACAGTATGGAAATGTTGAGAATACATTATCATGCTGTGAAAACAGCAATATATGCAGTAGCACACTGTGCACAGCTTATACAGTAAACAACTGTTGAGAAATGCAGTATAATACCGTGAAAACAACAGAAATCGTTTACAGTGCATCGCATCCTTTGTTTTCCTGCACTCTCATTTCATCTTTTCTCACTCTTTCATCTTCTCCCTTTATCTCCCTCTTTTTCCTCTCCTTGCCTGCTCCCTCTTCCTAAATATAGCAGCTTTGAAGCATCCCTCCCCAAAACACACTGCATGACAAAAAACAAATCTTTCATTCAGCCCGCGTGTGTAAGAGCGAGAGAGAAAGCCCTAATCAAGGATGTGATTGCCATCTGTTGTGTATTGATAAAAGGGAAAGAAAGACACTGATTAAAAAAAGAGAGGAGAGACAAAATGATGTAGGAAGAAGTAGAACAGCAGATATGGTGAGTAAAAAAGGAGGAGCAGGGCTATAAAGAGGACACGTGAATAATGCACATTTTAAAAGCCTAAAAAAGAGGCAGCACTGCATGTGGTAGTACAGAAAGAGTGTAAAAAAGAAGTGTTGAAGAAAAGACACAGAAACCGAGGAGAAAGGGGTTAGCGGAAGAGGAGTGGGTGACATTTCTGATCCTCGTTTTGTAATTGAATAATAATCTCCTGCGGGACCTGACCTAGAAGCGCGCAAGTGTGTGTATTAGCACGTTTTTTTTTTTCGTTTTTTTTCAGTGCGAGACAAAGAGTCAAATGAAAAGGGCTGACGTGAAATGAAACACTGCCCCCTGTCGTTTGATCGGGGTTTCACTCACATTGAGCATGAAAAATGATCCGGATTAATGTGCTGTGGCAAAGAATTGAAACATAACTGCTTTTCCGTTCAAGCAAGACTTATATATTTCGGAAAGGTTAATGAGATTAATCGTTACACTTTCCTTTCACCACCGTTTCAGTTTGTACAGATAGATCTTTTAGATTATTATACTTTGTAGGGGAGAGCGGGGAAGAAAGTACCATTTTTCATTAAAAAAAATAATCTTAAAAGATAATGATTTAGACAGATATATATATATATATATATATATATATATATATATATATATATATATATATATATATATATATATTATTATTATTATTATTATTATTTATTTATTTATTTTTTTTTTTTTTTTTGCTTTGGTTACTAACTCATAAGTGTGGTCTATCAATATTAGGGACTAAATAAAAGTAGAACAGCTACCTCCTAGGGCAGGGGTCAAGAAGAGCCATTCCTGATTTTTTTGGCAAATGCATTTTTTAAAAGAGCTATTGTGGATATATAAGCATCACATGTCGACCAAGTCCATGTATTAAGAAAGGATAAAATATATATAATTTTTTTCTTTTCACCATCAGCACTCATGAATGTTGTTTGAATTTACGTGTGCAAGGTTACTGTAGAAATGTAAGTTGCATAATCTTTATTGGTGTCCAATTCAAGTTAATCCACAGCGCTGCACACTTATTCATTGCTGTAAAAATATACAATAAAAAGGTCATTTTAATTTTATTTTCAACAGGAAACTTATTTTTAGTGACAGTTTAAATTTTTTATTGAAGGGAGACAGCTGTAGAGCCACATATTTTTGGTCAAAGAGCCACTTGTGGATCCCGAGCCATAGGTTCCCTACCCCTGTCCTAGGGCTTAGCGGCCACATACATGGACAGCACATTTTAGCTATAAAGTGGCTTTTTAAATACTTTGAATGTTTTAGATTTTGTTGCAGACAATGTGTCATCCTGCAACTGTTTAGAGAATGTCCCAAACACTAGTTTTAGTTGTCAAAATGGGCAAAATTGTTGGTTTTACTCTCTGAAGGTCAATATATATATATATATATATATATATATATTTATGTGCATTAAAAACAGTCAAAAACAGTTTATTTATGTGCCTGTCAGGAAAAAAGTGTTTTTTGTGAATTCAGACCACAAGTCCACATATATGGACATCATTTTTCTCTATAAGTACATCATATCAAAAGGTGATTCTTGAGATACTTGAGATGAGATTTTTTATTCTAATTAGGTTCCAATAAGCTCAAATAGAAAAGAGAAATAAAATAAAAAAAATGCATGTAAAAAAGCATCTAGGGCCTTAAGGGGTTAAAGTAATTTCACTTAAAAATTTTCAGCCAGGTTTTAGTCAACTTGCAATATTGTCAAAAACATAGAACACATCTTCCTGTGCCTGTAAAGCCGTAAACAAACACCTGCAATCGGTTTATGAGATCAGCCAGATAGTCGTGTACCGATCGAGTCATAAAATATGATCTTCGGCTGTGTGATCGGAGCGTCCCTAATATTTTGTCCTTTATTTTTGCCAAAAAATATTAAGCTGCATTTTCATTTAAAATTTAAGCTCCATCAAATATTTCAAAAGTAATTAAACAAATGCAAATGTTAACATTGTACTATGGTCAATTTAGTTCATCCAAATCCCCTATAGAGCACCCAAAACTGAAACACCCAGGGGAAACCCATGCGAACACTGGGAAAGCATGCAAACTCCACACAGAAATGCTAACTGGCCTAGCTGGGACTTGAACCAGAAACCTTCTTGTTGTAAGGCAACAGTGCTAACCATTAAGCCAACATCCATGCCTAATATTTGAATTTGATTTTTTTCCTCCAATGTATCAGACAACTACCATTTAAATAGAAAAGCATGTAATCTTTGTAATAATAATAATATTCTTTCTGTTTTTTGTCTTTTAGTTTGAGGAGGGAGGGCTACACTGTACAGGTCAGTGTGAATGACTACCTGGACATCTACTGTCCGCACTACAACCAGAGCCAGCGGGGGTCGCTAGAGCGTGGCGTGGCAGAGCAGTATGTTCTCTACATGGTCAGCTACAGAGGCTACCGCACCTGCGACCCACAGATGGGCTTCAAGCGCTGGGAGTGCAACCGGCCACACGCCCCCCACGCACCCATTAAATTCTCTGAGAAATTCCAACGTTACAGCGCCTTCTCACTAGGCTATGAGTTCAACGTGGGACATGAGTACTATTATATATGTGAGTATTCAGTTCTTGTGTAAGATTTCAACTAAAAGAAGATATGCTTGTTGTTTGATCAAACTACTTATTTAAAATGAGCTGAAACAACACAATTCTTAAGTATTTTTGGGACAACTTAATTGTTTTATGTTCAATCTACTTCAATTTGTGAAAACTGATACGTTATTTATTCAAGTGATCCCAACACAAATCAGTTTTGAGGAACTGTTACACACTGTACTTATACATACATTTTTGTTCACTGTTACACACTGAAAAATGAAACCGCACATAAAAACGCACAGACTTCCTTTAGCCTATTAATTAATATTTTCGTTATGGATTTGCTTTTTAAACAGCGTGGCTCAATACGCCAAAACAACTCTTGCGCCAAGCTGAAACTAGCAAACAACAATTGCGTCGCGCCTTGCGCCACAATGAGCCGGGTGTATGATAGGGCCCAATGTCTTCATGTTGTCCCAACAGAAATTGATTAAGTTACCTTAATTGTATTTTTTATTTATGAATTTAAGTGGATTGAACATATAACAATTATGTTGCCCCCCAAAAACATCAAGGATTGTGTTGATTCAGCTCATTTTAAATAGGATAGTTTAAACAGCAAAAATCAAATTTTAAGTGCATTATCAGGTGGTTTTATTAACAAAGCATTACAGTGCGTTTACATTAGACACGGATGAAGCGTCAAGTGCGAGTGATTAAGTTGTTAAGTCAATGCAAAGACGTGAATAGACAAGGTTTGCGTGAATGAGGCGGTGCGTATGACAAGATTCACACAAATGAAGCTGTACTAAATAATCGTTTTGCACGTTTGACAAAAGCCCCACCCATGACGCGAATCTGCGTGAATTTCACGTGCTAATGAAGTGAATTTGATGCACGAGTGAGCCTCAAAAATGTGTGCACCCTAGTCTATAATGATTTTATTGATTAAAAAATAATGACGTATTATTAATTGTTTAAACTCTTTTACACATGTACACTATATAGAAATCAATTAGATTAAACTCAATTTAACTTAAAATATTTAAGTAAATGTCCACCCAGATTCCGTGTGGGTCTAATTATGACTAATAATTCAGGAGGGCTAATAATTCTGACTTCAACTGTTTATAGAAATATTATTAAAAAAAAATATATATATATATATATGTGTATATATATATATATATATATATATATATATATATATATATATATATATATAATATATACATTCTCTCAAGTTTTAAATCATTCAATTTCTTGAATAGCTTGGAATACTGTTAGGGTTTTCCTTATTTAACCCAACCTTGGGTTAATACATTTACTCATTCATTCATTTTCTATCGGCTTAGTCTCTATTTCAGAGGTTGCCACAGCAGAATGAACTTCCAACTATTCCAGCATATGTGTAACGCAGCAGATACACTTTTGACGATTTAGTTTATTCAGTTCCCCTATACCGCATGTTTTTAGAGCAAGTCACCTGGAGGAAACCCACACGAACACAGAAAGAACATGCAAACTTCACACAGACTCAAACCAGCGACCTTCTTGCTGTGAGGCGCCAATGCTAACCACTGAGCCACCGTGCCACCTTGGGTTAATACAAGCAACATTTTTTAGACTATAACTTAATGAGATGAAGTCACATTTCGGTGTTTGAAGCACATCCAGAAAATAATAAACATAATGTTTTAGTCTTAGCTTTTATAATCAGTGTTGCCTTAATAACTAAAAAAAAAAAAAATAATAATAATAATTATATATATATATATATATATATATGTAATTTCGTCTTGGTAATTGCATCCCACTTTTTATGTACTGTCCAAAATATTAGCAAAACAACATGTGGACGAAAGGTAGCATCACAGAAAACCTTTCACACTTATCCTTCAGTCCACAAAAACAAGCTTACAATACAAGTATCTGGGGCAAAACTCAGCACAATTACAAGTGGATTTCAGCTCAAACAAACTCAGGTGCGAGTGGAAATGATTCTCAGTGGTTATTGACAGCATGCCACAGATGGCGTCCACAGAGCTTAACTTGCATTTAACATAATAATCCTTTAAAGTGTGCTTTTGCCAGGGTGCAGTAGGCATACTTTATCTAAACTCCTCTGACAGAAAAGGTTATTACGCAGGGAAAGGCATTCTGGCGAGCAGATGGAGGTTTAGTTGCTTTGTTCAAGGGGACATTGTTAGCAGAAGTGCCTTGGCAGGATCCTCCCTTTCATGATGTGGCGATTGTACCGCTGAGCCAATCAGGGCTCTTCCTGTCCTCAGGTTTTTTTGAATTGGTAATAAAGGAAGATAGAACTTTCGCCATTATGTGCAGGGTGACAGATAACTCACAGAGATGCGCTTAACAAAAGCAAAACTTGTGTGGAAAACAATTTGCAACCCCAGCGATCTATAAGACGGCGAGTTATTTCAAAAACGCCACAATGTTTCATTCATTTTTACCAAATCACAACTGAGAATAAAAGAAAGCTCTTAAGGACGGACTCAAATGCATCTCTCCCAGCAGTACATTTGCTCTCAAAAGCGCCTTGTTGGTGAAATGGTGACAGCTCCGCCATCCAAAGGGGCTTGTTATCGGGGGTGCGAATGTTACGCCAGGCCGCCGATCATCAGTCTTCCTGGCATTTGGGTCAATCACTACCAATTAAAGCGCACCCGCTTTGATTAAAAACTTTTTGAATGCAGAATAGAAAGCGAGTGTTAATAGAGCATCGCTAATGGCGATTTTTCGGATGCATGTCTCACCTAATGCTAATAGTCGTCTTCATTAGTGCGGTCCGCAGGCAGGTTATTAGCGATAGTATGACAGTCATTGCTATTGAAAAATGCTATCACGCTCCAACATTTCTATGATAGCGTGGCCCATATGTTTATCAACCTGAAAACAAGAAACGCTATCTTTAAGCTTGGAGGGAGTTCGTTTGGGGGCAATTCATCAATCGCTGATGGTATCTGCGGCTTGTGGAAATGGATAATTTAATAAACGCACCGTATCTGTTTTGATCAATGCTATTCATTTTAGTGTTCGGTTTATCTCAGCTTTACCTTAAAGGAGCAGTACACTGTAAAAAAAAAAAAAGGCTGGGTTCCACACAATTCCTTCATGTTGTCCCAACACAAATCTATTAAGTTAACTTAATTGTTTTTGCTAATTTAAGTGGAATGAGCATAAAACATTTAAGTTGTGCTTTAAAAAAAAACTCAAGAATTGTGATGGTCCAGCTCATTTTAAATAAATAGTCTGAACAAACAGCAAATTCAATTCAATTCAATTTAATTCAGCTTTATTTGTATAGCGCTTTTACAATGTAGATTGTGTCAAAGCAGCTTCAAATAAATGGTCATAGTAACTGGATCAGGGTAGTTTTTAGTGTTTAAGTTCAGTTCAGTTTAGCTCAGTTCAGTGTGGTTTGAAGTCATTATTGAGAGTCCAAACACTGAAGAGCAAATTCATTGATGAGTAGCTTTTCAAATCCTGAACCATGCAAGCCAGTGGCGACAGCGGAGAGGGAAAAAAAACTTCACCAATAGGAGAGTGAAGGAAAAAAACCTTGAGAAAACCAGACTCAGTTCGGCACGACCATTTTAATTTCTCCGCTGGCCAAAAGTCTTGTGCAGAGCTGCAGTCTCAGCAGTGGAGGCTGGATGCTGGCCTCAACGAAGACTCGTCTGTCCCTGGAGCATCACTGGAATCGGTCTCATGCTCTCCATTCCCCCATGACCAACTGCGCAGCAGCAGCTCAGGATACGGCCTGGTCCCGGAAATGGACACCTTGGGATCATCTCGTTGCTGGTCTTGGGTCCAATCAGTGACTCCGCATGATCTGAGGACCTCGGGATGAGTAGTCCCAGGTGGAAATAGAGAATAAAGAGAATAATTAGCGATGTCAAATGTAGCGTTTGCATTGGTCTTTTAAAATAAAGAGTTCAATATAGTTTGTAGGTGCGCTTTAAAGGACAAAGAAAGTTCAAAGTCATTTGCTTATGAAAGACTTAAAGGTACAAAAGAAAAAGCAACCTGCTTATCTTAAAAGGATAATTCACCCAAAAAAATACGATTCTGTCATCATTTACCCACACTTGTTCAAAACCTATTTGAGTTTCTTTCTTTTGTTGAACACACAAGAAGATATTTTGTAAAATGCTGGGACTTTTTGTTTGATGCATGCGTAATTCATTCTTTAAATATCAGTGGGTAGTTTGTTAATTTACAGCAAGAAGGTTGCGGGTTCATTTGGCATTTCTGTGTGGAGTTTGCATGTTCTCCCCATGTTCGCATGGGGTTCCTCCAGGTGCTCCGGTTTCCCCCACAAGTCCAAAGAGGGGGGGATAGGTGAATTGGGTAGGCTAATTTTCATTAGTGTATGTGTGTGAATGAGTGTGTGTGGATGTTTCCCAGTGATGGGTTGCGACTGGAAAAGCATCCGCTGCGTAAAACATTTGCTGGATAAGTTGGCTGTTCATTCCTTTGTGGCGATCTCAGATTAATTAAGTGACTGAGCCGAAAAGAAAATGAATGAATGAATATTGCTTTAAAATAGCACACAACCATTCTATACCACGGATATCATAATGGATACTATGGTACTTACTGTAGTATGCTGTATTTTGTGCACTATTCATTATTTATGTGTTCTGTTCAATTTTTCTCCGACAGCCAACATACCACCTATTTTAGTTTTTTATCATTATTTACAGAAGATACCCGCTGGAATAGGACATGAGTAATGACACCAAAATGGAACATATACAGAATAGAATAGGTTGACTAGCACTAATTATTTACTTTCTATGGTGGCACAGTGGTTAGCACAATCGCCTCACAGCAAGAAGGTCACTGGTTTGAGCCCTGGCTGGGTCAGTTGGCATTTCTGTGTGGAGTTTGCATGTTCTCCCCTAGTTCGCATGGGTTTCCTCCGGGTGCTCCGGTTTCCCCCACAGTCCAAAGACATGCTGTATAGGTAAATTAAATAAACTAAATGGGCTGTAGTATATGTGTGTGAATGAGAGTGTATGGGTGTTTCCCAGTGTTGGGTTGCAGCTGGAAGGGTATCTGCTTCGTAAAACATATGCTGGATAAGTTGGCGGTTCATTCCACAGTGGCGACTCTGGATTAGTAACGCTGAAAAGAAATTGAATGAATGAATGAATTACTTTCTATACCTATTGTGCACTTCTTACTAAAACTGTGCAGAAAGTATTATTGTATCCTCCACTCAAATGGGATTGACTTGATCATGTTTTTGATTTACAAATGTTAATATATTTACAGATTAGGTCACATGACAGGAAAGCAATATTGTATTTTTAAAGAGAAAATTCTACAGACTGAACTCTGATAATACATCATTTTGAAGTGTTTATTAAGTCTAAACTGGGTTTTAAACATCTTGACAGCACTTCAGCTGAACAGTCTTTCTCAGACACCACCGCCTTCTGTTTAGATTTAATAAAAACCTCAAAAGGATGATGTCTAGAGTACAGACTTCTTTTTTTTTCTTTTTTTGCAGTAGGCGCTACATTCCTGACAGCTATAAAAGCTAGGAAAGTGGGAGAGTGCCGTGATTGCAGTTTCAGAATACTAATATTTACATGTTCATTATCATTCCTTGTTTACTTAATGGATATACTATACTGCATACTGTCCATTTTGTAGTGAGCGTGTATTTAATACATTCTGAACCTGAAGTGCCTGTCATCGTCCAGGAGGTGGCAGTAGGTTAATGCTTGTGCTGTCGTGTGTTGTTTCAGCTACACCGATCCATCATCACGGACACAGCTGTTTAAGACTGCGGGTGTATGTCTGCTGTTCTACAGGTGAGGATTATCACACGCGCGCACACACACACACACACGTGTACACCACAGGAGAAGGTCATGAGAATGATGGTTTTGATGTGTGTTTGTGTGTGAGCAAACTATTTTCAGGACTTAATGCTTGAACACGTTCTGTGGCCTGTTTGATCAGAGCCATGTGTGGAGAGATCCTCTCATCCCTAGCTCTCTCTTTCACTTTGCTGTATTTATATCTATCAGTGATATTTCTCACGTACATGTGTGTTCATATATTTGTTTGATATGGCTTTGCATTTGTTTATGCTGTATTTAATTATATCAACTACAAAAAATGAGAATGAGTGATTTGTGTAAAGAAGGGAGACAGCTAGCATGTGAATTCACATGTAAAATGTAAATTTATTTATTAAGCCAATACATTTAACACATTTTGCAAAAAAAAAAAAAAAAAGGTCTTTTGTGCATTTATTAGAATAAAAAGATTATTCCAATAAGATCTTGTGCTACACACACACACACACACACACACACACACAAATACCTTTTTGGGAGTAATAAGTTACTGTAAAGGCTTGCAAAATACAAGGCAGTGAACATTTTGTGATAAAAAGGTGCACATTTAATGAGAAGACAATATTTTAATGAATTATGTAAATGAATGAACATAATTTTCTAATGCAGTAATCATTTTAATAGTATTCACACCAGTATTTATTGGCTCAAAGGTAAAAATCATGTCTTGACCAGTGTTAATTGAATATTCAACCCAGGCTCATTCTGAAAACATACTCCCGTGAACGTTTCTGATGACCGTGAAATACATTCTCAAAGGTATGTATTTTTGCAGTTTTTGTTTGCGAGAGGCCGCTGTGTGCTTTTTTTTTCCACATCTTGAGTGTCTCTCGCGAATGCTGTTCGCACCGCGCTGTACTCACATAAACCCACCAGAGGCCACTGTCAACCGACTGAATGATTGAATGGGTGACTGGCCAATCGACCGATCCACCCTCCTCATTCCCTAAACCCAACCAATTTTACAGATTGACCCGCCCACTCGCTTACTTCCCTAAACCCAATCTACAGTTTACAAAAGCCGTCCAGAAAAAGAAAAGCCCTCGTCTGATTTTTACCACTTTTTCAGATTTTACCACATTCTCACCCTGTTATTCACTCGTTCATTTTATTTTTTTGATTCTGTTTTTGTCTTACCTGATTTCTGGAACCGCTCTTTCCAGACTCGATCCCAGTCGTCTAGCTAACTGGACAAACTAGTTGCGGTGGGAAAGCTCTCCAAACAGAGGTAAGCGGTAAGCGTCAAAAAGAATGGCGTCATACCGCCCCATAGCGTTCACCATACATACCTCTAGCTACATAATTCGCAGCCTCTGGTGGATTTATGCGATAAAAGTAGGCGCAAATGGCACTCACGAGAGAAATTTGAAATCTAAAAAAAGTGTACACAGCGGCCTCTGGTGGATTTACATGAGAAAAGCAGGCTTGAATGGCACTCACGAAAGAAATTTGCAATCAGAAAAAGTGTACACAGCGGCCTCTGGCGGATTTGCGAAAACAAAAACTGCAAAAAAATGTATCTTCAGGCATATTTTGCGATGTCCAGAAATGTATGTTTGTATCCATGATGAGCCTGAGTTGATAAATTATCAAAATCTAAAAATTTTTATAGAAAAAAAAAATCTAATTTTGAAAAGAGTAATAAAAAAATCAAATTAACTAAAAGTACCATTACTTGCCTTAAAGTGTACTGCAGGTAGAGTAAAAGTATATGTTGTTATGATTACTCAAAGTATGAGTAAATAGTAGCTAAAGAACTCAAGAGTAGTGAGTAATACGCTGTAAAAAGCTGATAGATTTACATGTAATTTGTTAATGTGTTCAAAGGTAACATTCTGTAGTGCATTCAGTTATTGCTCAGCAGGCACACAACATTAATAAGACGTTAATATTAGGGTAAATTTAGGTTTGACATCAGGTAAACTAAATTCAATGTCTAACCAGTGTCTAAGGACAATGTTATTTTGATGTCCAATAGCGATGTCAAACAACATTGATATTTGGTTGATTTTAGGTTGTGTTGAAAAGCGACCAAAATCCAGTGTTGTGCCAACATCTTAAACCAACGTCATATTGACATCAAATACTGACATTTATTTGTCAGGTATGGCAACCGATGTCCAATATCTGATAGACGTCATAGTGGTAACATCCACACAACATCAAGCTGTAACATCATCAGACGTTGATATTTGGTTGATTTTAGGTTGGACGTTAGAAGTCAGCCATCTTTAAGTATACATCTTTAAAACTACTCAGTAAAGTACAGTTCCTGAGAAAAACTACTCAATTACAGTGATTTGAGTATTTGTAATATGTTAGTGTGCACCACTGTTAAAGATTACTGCTAGTTTGCTGTTTAAGAGCTTACTGTTTACTGTTTACCGTTCATGCACAAGCTGAGGCATCTATTAAAATACATACTACGAGTATAATTTGACTTTTAATTCTAATTTTAAACAACTTTTTATCTAATTTAAAAGTTAAACGTGCGTTTTGATGACTTATGGTGTCGACAAGGTATTCTGTAGACTAGATCTGCTGGTTTCAGGTCACCTGCTGAATTTTTTCCGGTAAAGGTGATGTAGTTACGCATGTTCCATGGCCATACTACAGTAACTACAATGAATCATGCATAATTACTTGTAACTGACCCTAAACCTAACCCACATTCTAACCCCAACCATATTGTAAGTACATGCAATTAATTCATATTACTGAGTAATATGCTAAATGAAGAGTTTATACTGTAACTAGGTCACCTTAAAATTAATAGCATTATTATTATTTAATTTTTTATTTTTCATTATTATTATTATTATTATTATTATTATTATTATTAGTAGTAGTAGTAGTAGTAGTAGTAGTAGTATTAATAAAGATTAGATTAGTGCAAACTATTTTCCAGAGACCCTTCCTAAACAGCACACACACACATATGCACACACACACACACACACACGCACATTTTGTTTTTGATGTCCTTCAGGGGGGATCAAGTGTTAATTAGTGAGGGTTAAACTCCCCCTGTAATTCTCACTCTGGTCTTAACTGATCTGGCACTTGACATGCTGTGATATTTGCTAAAGCAGGATCAAGGCAGAGACCAGAGAGAGCATAAAAGTAGAAAGAGAATTTATTTGCAATGCCACATGAATGCCCATTACCAGGATAAAGATCGGTTGATTGTGTTGTTCATTATGGACATGAGCTGATATCAACACTTTCCTCTTCCATCAGCGCTTTTATGCGATTGACCCTTAAATGAACTGTATGAGTATTGTATAAGAGACTGTACATGATTCAGTGGCCATAAATTTACACACAATGCCTTTCACAGTTCATTTATTATTTGATTAATATTGAAAGAAGATGAAAATACATTCGCATATTATATTAATATCGTTTTGATGAATATGTAAGTATGTGCTGTGCGCTTTGCTCTTGATAACAAAATAAAGATATGATAAAACGACAGCAGTGAGAAAAGAGCAGTTAATAATACTCCTGTTTACTAGCATCATGTCGACAGGTGAGGTAATTATTTGGGATGCTCTGATCAGGATGTTTGCAGCCGATACCGAGTACAGATTCCTTGTCTTGGTGATCAGCCAATAGCGAATACCGAGTCTAATGCTTCAAGCTTATAATTATAAAGCTTATAATTATATATAGTAATATAAGAAAAATTACAATCAATACAATTTGGAAAAATTGCAAATGATGAAAGAATAATTCAACATGTCTCAATCAAGAAAAAAATGAAGCGCATATTTAATGCATAAGAAATAAAAAAACAATCAAGTCATTAAATGTTATTATCGACCGATAACGATCTTCGGCCAATCGATCGAAGCATCCCTAGTAACAATAATCTTTTGATATTTTGATTTTTAAAACTATTTAAAATACTGTATAGAGCTGGCTTAAAGGGGTAGGTTTTTAGCCCAAAATTACAATTCTCTCATCATTTACCTTAAACCTTTTTAAGCTTCTTCTATTAAAGACTGTTTTTTTCAGCTGGTTCTTTCTTGGATTTTTATTTTTATTAAAATTACAGGTTCTAAGTTCTGTTTGTGAAAAGCAATGTTTTTACAGTAATATTTTTGCATAAATGGAAAGCAAATGACATTTGTCCCCTCCCTTTTTTGCTGATTCGAAAAATGGTCCGATCCATGACTCAAAACCGCAGAGTGATCTGAACTGCAGATTTGTGATCCGTTACACCACTAGTGTTGGGGAAAGTTACTTTTTAAGTCACATGTTACAATATTGAGTTACTCTCTCAAAAAAGTAACTAGCTGCATTACTTGGTTGCTTTTTATGGTAAGTAATGTGTTATGTTACTTTTTAATTACTTTTTATTACCTGTCTGAGATTTGATCTCTTTCAGAACTTGTTTTTTTTTTCTTTCTTTTTTTTTCTTTCTTTCTTTCTTTCTTTCTTTCTTTCTTTCTTTCTTTCTTTCTTTCTTTCTTTCTTTCTTTCTTTCTTTCTTTCTTTCTTTCTTTCTTTCTTTCTTTCTTTCTTTCTTTTTAATAAAGGAGTTCTGCAATTAAAAGCACACTGTATAACCTACACCTTCATTAACCTGTAAAAACACATCAAAAAATAATACTTTAGCATTATGTTATCTGAGAACTTCTTACCACAGAACTATACATGTTGTACTGTATTTGGAAATTATTGAAAGTTTAAAGCAATGTCTTTGCTACTGTTGTAATATTTGTCAAGTAAAATCACTGTCCATTGAAACAATGCCTTTTTGTTCAAAATAATAAACACATTCTCTAATTGACTGCATGATTCATTTTAATTCAGCTTTTTTAAGCTAATAATTTAAACTAAAAAATAACTTGCTTTACATTTTTTTAAAGTAACTCAAATATTATTACTTATTTTTTAAAATTAACTCTGACTTTGCTCATTACTTAGAAAAGTAATAATATTACGTAACTCGCATTACTCGTAATGCATTACACCCAACACAGGTTACAGATTTTCAGCTTTGTGTTTTGGAATCACTCAAAGTGAGTAAATAGTGAGTAAATGTTCAATTTTGGATGGACCTTTTAATCCCTTTTCATTGCATGACGCATTGAAATAAAAACACAAAACAGTTCTCTTTTTCTTTTATCTTGATCTTTGTGTAAGCACATGTTTCGTGTGGCATAGACCGTCACATGCTTTTTTATTTATTATACTGTAAGTCCTTCACATAAAAATCAGCCTACAGGCTTTCACGGACAAGCTCAGAAGTGATGGAAGGCCTCATTTTTCAAGTTACATTACAAGCACTTCACACATTGTCTATATAAATGCATGACATGTTTTTAAATCAGCTCCTTTAATGCCTGAACAGTTTTGCAACCACTGCATGCACTGAGATCATGTGTTTTCTTGTGTTCAGTCTCGAATTCAGATGACGACTCGAGTCCACCTGACTACACTGTCAGACCCAAACTGCATGACATCGGTGAGTGCGTACACACACACACACACACGCACATATACATGTGAATCCTGAACACAATGCAATTTTTGTTTAGCTGCTCTCAGAAATATTACTATTTCCTATTATCTGAAATTCCTCCTAAAAGCCCGGATGATTCGTTAACGTCCGGTGATTAACCAATAACAAGCAAATGGAAGCATTTATTGATTCTCTCTTGCCCTCACTCAAAGAACATTTTTATTCTGAGAAATCTGGCAGTAGGAATGAGAAAATCATTATGAGTGCCTGGAATCTGAAAAGATTTCTGATGTTTGACACCACTTTAGAGACCCAGTAGACTTATATATATAATATTATATATATTTTTATTTTTTTATTTTTGTTTTGTTTATTATTTATTTATTTGTTGTTTGTTTGTCTGTATTTGATATGCTAGTATATGCTACAAAATTGTAATATGCTTAATTTCAGTTGTTACTTTTTAGGGTGGGTTACTGAAAAATAAATATTAATGAGAAAAATTACAATAATTATAATAAAATAATAATAATAATAAATACACAAGTAAATAGATATTAATGATAAAAGAGCACTGTAAACATGATATGACATGGCAACAAATATTTGTGTGTTACAGTAACATGTTTCAATTAGTTTATCAGGTTTCAACAATTTTTAGTTACACCTGATTTTATTGTACAATTCACGCTCTTAACAAACCATTTTAGCTCAATGAACTACTAATTAGCTGCTTATTAATAGTAAATAAAGTAATTGTGGGGTTTGGTTGTTGGGTAGGATTAAAGATGTAAAAAAAGATCATACAAGTGCTAATGAACAGCTAATAACTTAACAGATATTAAGCAGACAGTCTACTAATACTCAAATGGACCATAAAATTAAAGTGTTACCAATATCTTAATACAAGGCAGACAATAAACCAGTAGTGGTGTAGATTTTTACCTAAACTGAAGTGTTACCCAAAGTTTAACTTTATGTTTCTAGTCAGTTAAATTGATGTAAGTTGCAATAACTAGAAAAGTTAAGTTGATTCGACTAAAAAATGTAGATTTTTTTTAATGCGTAAAAATGTTTTGATAGATCTGTTGTGATATTTCATGTATTTGTAAATAGTATCATAATTTACAGCTATACATATATATAAAATAAGGAAAATGAGGAGCTACTTTCTTCCGCCATTCATTTACATTCTATAGCGTAATGTCTAAAAGTATGACAAAACAGGCGATTTTGATCACATTTTAAGATTATAAGGCTGAATGGCATGAAATGCCATCAGTCTACAGATATTTTCCATTATTTATCTGTTGCAATCGGGAGCTAACAATAATTAACCACGGAAAAGCCAAAGCAAAGCAAACACTAGCAGATTACTATGGTATAAATACAGCACTACAAAATACAAAAGAGAGAGATCGACTTACAGTATCACTTAACTGTTCTGTAATGATTTGATCAGCTGTAGTTTGAAATACGAAAAGAAACTTAGGACTTAATATGCTGTCTCTGTTGCCATCTTGTGTTGCCATCTTGTGGCATCTTGCAACCGTCTTTGGTCAGCTCAGTATGACAGGCTGATGGCTGCTGATCTCAGAATATATAAATATGTGAAATCGACACTGTCCTTATAAATAAACTGCAAAGTAGCACTCTAAACAACTACATACTTCCCTAAAAAATCCTCAGATTTACATTATGTTGTCCAACAGCTGCAATATTTGTCAAACTGTAGTGAGTCTATTGATCTGCTATCACTATGTGGGCGGAGTAATACACAAGAGTAAAGAGGCTGTATTTGCAGAACATTGCATGGCTATTATGTATATATGTATATGTTTTAAATGAGAAATCATTTATGTTCATCAGGATTTCCTGTTATTTATATGTTTGTTTGTTTATTGCAGTGGTCAGCAATTGACCAACAACAACAAAAAAATAAATGCATTTATTGATTCTCACACCAAAAAGTGTTTATATTCTGAGAAATCTGCCTTTAAACGTGTGAAGCGCATTACGAATACATCTGAAATGTATGTCCAGCAAAATACCCAGAAACTCAAGTTCACATCAGGATCACAGAAAGCATCATGGGGACACACTGCAGGATGCAAAGCTTGGCTCAACGCCCCCGTGCCCTTGCTAAAACACATAATGCAACAAATAGCTGGCACTTTACACCGCCGCAGGCATCTAAAAGCACTCTAGCAGTAGGACATCTGTGTGTGTGTGTGCGTCCGTGTGTGTGTGTGATTGCACCATTAAACTGATTCTTATATTCATTTATGACACACATACAGCACACGGCATGAACCAAATGTTCCCCTCTGTTTTCATCCAGAACCTTCTACTTCTAAAGCTGTCAACATCTCGTTAGCGTTTCCAAACCATATCTTATAAAAACACATTGCTGACAGGTCAACCACCCCATTATGTGGAGAAGAAAAAAAACCTTGTGTGCAGCAGTCTTGGGAAATAAGGCTAAGTTTTACTTTGTTTCTGTCAACGGCTCCATAATGTCATCATTTGTGCTGACGCTGCATTCAGACATTCATTCTGCTTCAGTCTCAGCAACGAACGGGTTCCAGTCAGGGATTATTCTCCTCACTGAAACAGATATGATGAGATATAGTTACAGATGTCCAAAAAATAGCAAGGCATAGTCACTTTTCTGAAAAGATTACCAAAGTTTAACACAGCTTTAGAGATCTTGGAGATTTAATAGACTGGGTGTTCACTGCGAAAGGAGAATGGTAATTACAGTGAGGCAAAGTTTATACCAGACTCTTTTGACTCTTCTAAAGCTTACATATACCATAACATGTTTGCTGTAGGGATGCTCATTTCGGTTAATTTTGCTAACCGACAATCGTCACTCATTAATCGGTTATTAACGGTTAACTGGTCAGATTACTATTAATTTTATATTAAACAAATTGACATGTCTATTTTGTGTCTGACACATTAAATATTGCATTTTAAAATACTGATTTATTTTTATATGCTAGCATATAAATAACAGAACAATACAACAGAGCATTTTCACGCACCTGCAGTGTTTAGCACAGAAGAACAGAATAAACTAAATAAAATGAATAAAAAAAAAATAGGACTGCCCTAAATTATTTACACTTAAATAATAAGTTTTTATAACAAAATGAAAATAATGACTGATTCTTTTTAATAACCGGCATAGGCTGTTTTTTCCAATCATATGTTTTTTCTTCCGTCAAATTAAAATAGCTGACTTCCTCAAATCGCTCGCTCCATGGAAAATATGCCTTTATTTAATATGCCTTTATTTAATGCGTCTTCAATTAAAGCGAAACGGCTAAAAACTCCAGCAAGATAGAGTGATTATATGCAGTCATATACCTTTATCTATAAATAAAGTATAAGAATTTGTCATCATCTTAACTGAAAGCTTCTGCATGTTTGCTGGCCTCACGCATCGCGCACCTGTCAGTCAGTCAGTCAGTCAGCACGTAACGCCAAGGGATTAAACGGATAGAAACAGCACAGCACTATACGGTTACAGAAAAGTTTGCGCTGTTATAATCCACTTACCTTTAAATACATTTTGGTACGATTATAATCCGCTATTTAAAACAACAACAATGACTGAATGTTTTGAATGGGTAATGTAGCCGTGGAGGGATGCATTTTAGTCCCCGCCAAGGAAGAATGAATGTAGCGGAAACCATGCTCTTTAAAAGTTCTCTCTAGTTGTCTTGACAACAAAACGTGCTGCTCTGGGATGAGCCGCGTGCAAAAGATCCCCCTCTTAACGCAAAGGCGCATTTAGTCGGCCCCTTATGCAGCCAAACTAAAAATATATAAAATAATATTTTTAATCGTTTAACTGATAGCATTAATCGGTTACAAACGCACCCTTTCGGTTAACGGTTAATCGATTATTTTGAGCATCCCTAATTTGCTGATATTTGAGAAACATGCTAAGTGAACATCTTGTTTATCTGAAAAACAATGCTGGAGTCATATAATCTGCTATGAAAATGTGCGTTACCTGTCTGAACGCCTGTCTTTTTTTTTTTGGTCTCTTTAACCGGCTCATTGTCAGTTTAGCCATTTATATTTCAGCAACACGGGTTGCCATGGTGAAAAACAACGTATTTCATTAATCCAGTCAGGAAGACTCTCAAAGTGTGTGTCCTTAACTGAAATGCGACCTCTGGTGGACAGTAGCTGACTCCGAAATGAGAGGCAGATTCAGAGTTCCACATTTGAGTTTAACATTTGGTGTGCAGGTTATTTTGTTAACCTATAATTCTTAACAACACGCTTCACAAAGACATATGCAGTGATAAACAATTTGGCTGTTTGCACTAGACGAAACACAACCGAAATTTAAATTCAGCCATTCAGAAGCACAGAATAGTGCACTTACTGCACTCCAACAAAATGGTAACATTTATAATCTAATTAATACATATTAAACGACTTTAACACTATTAAACGCAGATGCTGAATCACTGATATATGTTGTCTTCCAATGAGTCACAGTTCTAAAGTTCCATATCAAGTTGTTTATTTTATTGTCAAGATCTGAGGTGAACTGTCTGCTGCTGCTTGCGGTAGTATGGCAATAAATGTCATGTAAAATGACATTCACACTCACACAGCACATGAGGTGTACCTGAGGTGATCATTGCCAGTTTTCTGTTGTTCAGCTGCGGGAAATAGAAGCTGTTTCTAAAATATAATTTTTTATACATTTATAAATTATAAAATATAAATATATTGTGTGCTTTTGATTATATTTAGAATACGGTTTAAATCAGCTTAAATCAGCATTTAGGCTCAACAGGCACATTGCTGTTGGTGTCGTCAATCTGGCAACCTGCCCTTGTGTGTGTATTAAACCAGCTGTGCAAAACCTAGTTCAACCACTGGGTGTCAAACTTTCATACAGCACTTTTCAATTATTTGAAAAAAAATGGCAACACTTTATAATAACTACACACTATGAGTCATTTATTTAGCATTAGCAAATAGTTCATTCATTATCTGTTATGCTGTGTTCAAACCAGATGCGGATTGTAAATAGAAACGTGAACATTTGAGTTTACCTGCTTCATTCGCGCGTCAAAATGGCTAAGATGGATTTTATTGAGAAAATAACTTTGTTTATGTGCTTTATGAAGGCTGAAAAAAAGTGTTGATTCATTCGGAGCCATGTCTGAGTGCACTACATCCTTTCAGAGGTGCACCCTGCTCTGTGAGCTTATAAACTCCTCCAGAAACTATACTTGATTGATAGAACCATTCAGCGGTGCTTCTGAATGAGCCGAGCCCAGTTTAATAAACTGTTATTGGTGTGTGCTGGAGGATTTTCCCCCTGGACATGTCAAAATCACGCCCTCACAAGAGCAAGCTCCTGATTGGTTAACGTGGCACAAATGTCCGCTAAAGTTCAGATTTTCAAACTTGAGCAATGTCAAATGTGCAAAACGCTCAATTCGCACCGAGCCATTCGCGCAATTTGTGTCATTCACGCTGCGCCATTCGCACATATCGCACTGCAGAATGTCTATTCGCGCCTTTGCATTGACTTAACATGTAAATCACTGGTGCTTGACGCTTCATCCGCATCTGATATGAACACATCATTAAGCATTAACTCTAGATTAATAGACATTGGTAAGCAGTTTTTAAATACAGCTACAAGTGCTTTATTCTTGTCTAATTCTTGTTAGGCATTTTCATACTTTTCATAAATACTATTACTAAATTAAGTATTGCATTATTTACAAACCAGTTATTTAAGAATAGCTGGTGTTTTTTTAAGATAATTAAGAACAATCAACAGCATAGTTGAGTACAACCCATTATGAAAATTATTATTTTTATCCATTTCTGAGTAAATATATTCAGTGTATTTTTGGTGCATTTAAACTAAACAGATTTATTAAACAGATATATTTCTTAAAATAATATTTTAGTCACCAAGCTTATTTAGAAATTATATAGATAATACAATTAAATTCAAGCTAAATACTGCAAAAAAGTTACAACCTACAAAATTTCAACTTTTTAAAAATATTTTGATCTCCTGATTTTTCCTTTTTTTAATTTGTATTTAATATTTTTCTATAACATAAATTTGGGTCTTCTTTTTTATACTGTTATCATTAGTTATTTTGTCAGATAAGCTCCAGATTTGACTTTAGTACTGACTAATATAATGTATCTGCACAAATATAATATTTTAGAGCTTCCTATTAATAATATGAATTTAAAAGAGAGATTTGTGAGGGGTGTTTACTTATATATGCTGAGCACTGTATTTATAATAATTTGTTTCATTCATTTTTTTTCCAATTCTCTTAAATGTCTCAAAAGTCATTTTTTATTGTTTATTTTTTTAAATATTTCACACAGCTTGGATCTTTTTTTTATATATCTTTTTATTTTTTATACAGAACATTTCTCTCTTTACTCTTACACACTAAACAATACCGGTACAGTGTTAAATCGTCACATGATGTCTGGGTCCTCAGGCAAAACCAGCAAGGATGTATTGTAAGGCTAAATTTTGTTTGACAGCCGTGTTTTATCCAGGCCAAACAAAAGATGGCGATACAGGAGCACATCCTACTTTGTCACACACAGAACAACAGAAGTAGATTTTTAACAATAACAGATTCTAGACATTTTCCTGATGTGTTGACATCCGTGTATCTACAGAGCCGTGTCTCTATCCATTCACGTCTGCCATCACAGCAGCATATTTAACCTATAGCTGTCCGAGTGTCCTTTATCAACATACAGAATGCTTCAGCTGATAAGAAATGTCAGAAATTCTTTGTTTATTTCTGTCAGACCTCTTTCCCGCAGTCTTCCCTCTACAATCATATCTCCTGCTTTAATAGATAAGATTTCTCTCTCACTATCTCTCATTTTCTCTGCAGCCTTTTCTCTCTCTTTTCTAAGTGATTATTTTCATCATCAATAACTCTTGTACAATGTTATATCGGGCTTTGGGGCCAGTAATAATACCGAAAATGAATGGATGAGTTTTATCTTCCTTATATTTGGTGAAGGCTGTGGGGAAGCCGTTGCATTTGCCGTAGGTAACGATGTTACTCAAAGAGAAATCATTATTTCCCCTGCTCCCATATGCCATTCGCTGAGACCGAGTAGGTGAGAATTTACCATCTATGTCAATTTCTAACTTCAGCGTCTAACTTTTTTCCCCTTTGGTTAATAAGATTAAACAAATAGTTTCTCATGCTTGTCAGTTGGGCGATGACTTTGAAGAAAATGTAGCATCCGTAAAACTAGAATCTGAAGCAACATGCATTCATTCACTTTCTTTTCGGCTTTTTCCCTTTATTAATCTGGGGTCGCCACAGCGGAATGAACCGACAACTTATCCAGCATATGTTTTATGCAGCGGATGCCCTTCCAGCTGCAACCCATTGCTGGGAAACATCCATACACACTCATTCACACATATAAACTACTGTACGGGCAATTTAGCTTACCCAATTCACCTATGCCACTTGTTTTTGGACTGTTTTCGGGGCACCCCGAGGAAACCCACACGAACATGAGGAGAACATACACAAAAATGCCAACTCACTCAGCCGGGGCTCAACCAGTAACCTTCTTGCTGTGAGGCGATTGTGCTACCCACTGCATCACCTTGCTGCCGTCTGAAGCAACATGTACTGTAAAATAAGTTATCATGAACTGCTCAGCTCACAGTCAATGTCTTTGCAGTATTGGCCTGCGTTTTTTGATAAGTTTGGGAAAAAAAAATCATATCAATGTTGATTTTTTTTTCAAGATTTTTTGATGAAGGGAAAGTACAAATCAGGAGCCTTTATTTGAAACATAATTTTTGTAACATAAAAATATCTTTGCTGTAGGGATTTATGTTTTGCTTATATGGTGGCTGCATAGTATTACAGGAAACAAAAACTATTTAAAAATATATATGAAAGTATATAGATGCATTATACAAAATTTATATTGCCTTCATTTTTATTTTGTTGAATCAAATGAACTTTTCTAGCCATCTCAACTTACATCAATCAAACTGACTAAAGCCCAATCCCAATTCTATTTTTGTACACCTACCCCTTCCTCTTCCCCTTGACCCTTGAAACAGAGTCTGAAGGGGAAGGGCTTCAAAATTTACCTCTAAGAAATTAAACACTACTACAACACCTGCACAAGTCCTTGCAATCTCTTGCCTTATATGAGATTGTTGACGGAGATAGCTGCAGTTATTCCAGTTGCGGTATTTATCTACCGGAAATCACTGAAGGCAACGATTTCATGTTATCATAGCGATATAATGTGACAATAAGGTTGTAACTGTACTATGTATTTACACAGTGGCCATATTTATCTATGTAAACACACAAAAACAACACTAACATTATAGCAGACACTGTAATAGGTCATTCCTAGCCACTAGACTTTTCTGACAGGTTATTCGAGTTTCAATGGGACAGGAGTTATTATTATTATGGATTGTAGATAGTTTTTATTTTTAATTTATTTTTTTTATTTTAGCGTTTTTTTAAGCATAATAATAAAACAAGAACGTGGTTATGAACATATTGAAACATGCTTGTTTGTTGTAAAATATCATAATAATGACAAAATACTAATTTGTGCATCTCCTGACTTCCGTGTTCAGCCATGCTATAGTTGTAGCTAATGTATTCTGGGAAATTTACTTACCCATTGGTTTCAAGTGTGGTTCTGTAAAATCTCAGTTTCAGGGGCTGTCTAGCCCTTCCTCTTAGCACTACACCTTCAAGCTAAAGAGAATTAGGACACCCCTACCCTTACCCTTCCAAAACGAGGAAAATTATCAAGTTAAACTTTGAATAACTTTTAAAAAAAATTGAATTAAAACCTAAATAACTTATTAAAATAATAAAAAATCTTAAAGTATTGGTTGTCTTGATGTTTTGTATTTGTTTACAGTGTGAACACTAATTCTTTCTTTCTTTCTTTCTTTCTTTCTCTCTTTCTTTCTTTCTTTGCTTTTTTTCTTCCTCTTGTCTCAGACGAGTTTAACCCTGAGATCCCCAAACTGGAGAAGAGTGTAAGCGGCAGCAGTCCGTCCGGAGACCGACTGTTAATCACTGTGGCGACGCTCCTCCTCGCTGCTCTCCTCGTGTCCTAGCAATCATCTTTCTGTCCTATCTGAGCAAACCCGAGCGCTCCGAAAAACAAAACAAAACATCGCCTTTCCTTCAACCTGTGCGGAGGGATTACCCAATCAGAATCCATTCACCCCTAGTCGAGCCCTGAACACGGGAGCTAAACGTAGATCTACCGCACCCAAATAGTGGCCTTTGTCTCCACAATTTTGGACCTTAGGAATAAGGAGCGTCGATTTCAGAATTTGCCTTTGTGGTGGAACGTCCACTCTTCTCAAACATACTCGAACATTTCAACAGAGGAAAAAACCAATGTGGTTAGACAGTGAGGTCTCTCTACCTCGAGCTGCACCGTTCTCATCTCTAATGAACCAGACTGAGGCATTTTGAGATTGACGTGCGCTCCAATGGAGATGACGAACATCACAGTGGTCCGTTGGATTTCAGCTGAGAGACTCAAGGAGCTCTGGAGACCTTTGATCCTGTCTTAACTTTCTGTCACAATCCATACCTTTGTGACTGCAATATGTGTTGGTAATTGACAGCGCTGCAGCGGAGATCAATAAAACTCATTCGCCAGTCACTAAGTTCAGGTGTCAGGCTTATGAATCGATGGCAAAAAGGCTCAGCAGCAGTTTCTGCTAGTTGCCAGGCTGGAGTGGGGAAAAAAACATCTAAACTGTAAAAAAAATCCGTAATTTTACGTTTTTTTTTCAGGCACCTGGGGTGAAATAAAATAACGGCCGTTAAATTACAGAAATTTAGAATAGAATAACGGACGTTAAATTACAGTAATTTACTGTTGAATAACAGATGTTAAAATACAGAAATTTACTGTAGAATAATGGACGTTAAATTACAGAAATTTACTGTAGAATAACGGATGTTAAATTACAGAAATTTACTGTAGAATAATGGACGTTAAATTACAGAAACTTACTGTAGAATAACGGATGTTAAATTACAGAAATTTACTGTAGAATAACAGACTTTAAATTACAGAAATATACTGTAGAATAACAGATGTTAAATTACAGAAATTGACAGTAAAATAACGGACATTAGATTACAGAACTGTAGAATAACGGATGTTATATTACAGAAATTTTCTGTAGAATAACAGACTTTAAATTACAGAAATTGACGGCAAAATAACAGACTTTAGATTACAAAACTGTAGAATAACGGACGTTAAATTACAGTTATTTACTGTAGAATAGCAGATGTTAAATTCCAGAAATTTATGGTAGAAAAATGGACTTTAAATTACACAAATTTACTGTAGAATAACAGAGGTTATATAACAGACATTTACTTAAAATTTCTGGTAAATTTCTGCAATTTAACGTCTTTTATTTTATGGTAAATTTCTGTCATTTAATTTCCATTATTTTATGTTTTTTTTCCAGCAGCCCAGCTGTCAAAAAAGAAAAAGTAAAGTACTGACTGTTAAATTACAGAAATTTATCAAAGAATAACAAACATTAAATTACAGAAATTTACTGTAGAATAATGAACGTTAAATTACAGAATTTTACTGTAAAATCACAGACGTTAAATTACAGAAATTTACTGTAGAATAACAAACATTAAATTACAGAAATTTACTAAAGAATAATGAACGTTAAATTACAGAAATTTACTGTAAAATCACAGACGTTAAATTACAGAAATTTACTGTAGAATAACAAACATTAAATTACAGAAATTTACTGTAGAATAATGGACGTTAAATTACAGAAATTTACTGTAAAATCACAGACGTTAAATTACATAAATTTACTGCAGAATAACAAACATTAAATTACAGAAATTTACTGTAGAATAATTAACGTTAAATTACAGAAATTTACTGTTAAATAAGAGACGTTAAATTACAGAAATTTACTGTAGAATAATGAATGTTAAATTACAGAAATTTACTGTAGAATAATGAAAGGTATATTACAGAAATTTACTGTAGAATAACAGACGTTACATTACAGAAATTTACTGTATAAAAACAGACGTTACATTACAGAAATTTACTGTAGAATAATGAACTTTTTATTACAGAAATTTACTGTAAAATATCAGACATTACATTACAGAAATTTACTGTAGAATAATGAAAGTTATATTACAGAAATTTACTGTAGAATAACAGACGTTACATTACAGAAATTTACTGTAGGATAATGAACTTTTTATTACAGAAATTTACTGTAGAATAACAGATGTTAAATTACAGAAATTTACTGTAGAATAATGAAAGTTATATTACAGAAATTTACTGTAGAATAACAGACGTTACATTACAGAAATTTACTGTATAATAACAGACGTTACATTACAGAAATTTACTGTATAATAACAGACGTTACATTACAGAAAAAAAAATAAAATTATTTTATTTTCTGGTTAATTACTGCAATTTAATGTAAATTATTTTACGGTAAATTTCTGTAAATTAACTACCATTGTTTTACGTAACGTAAATTTACGGATTTTTTTACTATGTAGTTTCTTTGTTCTTTTGCTGAACTTAGAAACTAGAGGCACGTTATAGGTCAGAGACCATCACTTTTGTACATTGTGCGACCTGAGATGTTTGATCATCATAGCAGCGCACGACTGAACGAGCTGTAGATGGATAGATACTTTAATTTCTTATAGTATGTACTGTACCGTGTCATCTCGAAGAGGCGCTGGATTGGCCGGTGCCACCGATTAGCATTTTTTGTAAGAGCGCTCGACTTGTAAACTGCAGTTCGCTGTTTTATATCGAAGACTTTGCGATGCAGACTTAGTTTTTACCGTACGATACATATTTAACTGCTCTTTGAGTATGTTACTTTATATACTTAATTTATTGAGTTATTTATTGATCATTTGATCCTTTTTTTGAAACTTTGTGAGTTTTGTCTGCTTTCTTGAGGGATCTTCCCTTGTCTTTGCTAATGCCAAATTATAATTTTGTTTCTGTTCGTTTCATGTTCTTTGTTTATGTGCCAGCAAATTGAATCACATTTCATAGTTACAAAATCTCATTCATTGCTCTCGGTTGAGTAGGTCTCATTATTATAGGACAGTGTGAGATTGTTGTAGTTCGTATTGGTGGGCGGGGCTGGGGGGATTCATGGGGGAGGGGCTTTTGAGTGGGCATAGCTTCAGTGCAGTAAGGGAATGAGTTTTAATGAATAAAAGCATTCCTCCGATCGCCGCAGACAATGTCAAGAGTGAATGTCAATGTAAACGTGTCTGCGTATGTGTCTTATGAGTGTGCACTTTACTGGGAACGGAACGGGAGTGTGCGCGTTTTCATATGCATTTAGATACACATTTGTAGGTTTTAAATACTCAAAGCTTGCGTGAGAGTTTCGGCTGGTGAGAACGGAGCGGGCGAGAACGAAGGCATTTATCATTGTTGGAAACAACAGTACCAATCGTGTTTACCTTAGAACGATTACAAAACATGTAAACGAATCATGAATGACAATTACCAGATTGAAACTTAATAAACCATTCTTATTTTAACAGTCTACTTGTTATTTTTTACTGATTTCTAGACCATTTCTGAATCATCATCTGCATGGCATTAATGTAAATGAGTTTGGGTTTGCGCTTGCGTTTTGAGAACAAACATGTTTATGAGTTTTTGTTTCCAGGCCTGTTTGTGACCACTCGTTTAGTCATGGTACACTGCTTGTAAATCCACTTTTACTATTTAAGAGATATTTAGATTGCCTCTGGTTTGCGGTGTGTAATGAACATGCTGAGATATTAATGTGACTACCATAAAATATAATTATACAAAATTGTAAATGCTAATAATGTCAATATAAAATGTGTTATCGTTCCTATTATTATTATTATTATTATTATTATTAGTATTAGTATTATTATTATCATTATTAATATTATCATTATTATTATTGTTATTATTATTATCATCATCATTAATATTATCATAATCATCATCATTATTATTATTATTATTATTATTATCATTATTAATATTATCGTTATTATTATCATTATTATTATTATTATTATTAATATTATTATTATTATTATTATTATTATCATTATTAATATTGTCATAATTATTATTATCATTATTATTATTATTATTATTATTATTATTATTATTATTATTATTATTATTATGACGCTTCTTCTTCTTGTGTTGGATTTAAATGGCAGCCCATATAGCCATATGCAGGATGTAGTTGTATAATTTGCACAATGAAAGAGGGCAGTCTCAATATTAACCAGAGCAAACATAAAGTTTTAAAATCAAACACTCTAGTGTCACCACTTGTCCAAAGTTTCACTTGTGTTTATCTTTATAACTTTTAAACCAAATGGGCTACAATGAAACAACTTTTTCCTCTGATTGCTTGAATCAAGCCGATTCAAATGCATGCTATGATGTCATTTTCCATCATGAAAATGTTTTCGCTATTTTGAATTTTTTGCAAAACCTATTTGACCGATATTTAATTTGTGATCTTGGTTCAAAGATGAACTGGAATTCATTTTTGTCCTGCAACTTGGAATTAATAATGTCTTAACATCTAATAATACTTAAAAACGTCCCCTCAATTATTCTTATAAGATTTTTCTTGTAATAATAAGAAACGTTTTTGTAATAATCATTTATTTTTTCATAGTCATGTTTTATTTTCTCATAAAATGAGAAATGTTCTCTTAATGTTGACTTCCTACACCGTAAGAATTACTAGGTTCCACAAAATTCCTTCATGCTGTCCCAGCACAAATTGGTTGAGTATTTTACAAATTTAAGTGGATTGAACATAAAACAATTAAGTTGTCCAAAAAAACTTAAGAATTGTGTTGTTTCAACTCAATTTAAATAAGTGGTTTGAACAAGCAGAACAAAGTCATTTTTTGAGTGTAATAATAATGACTTTATGATAAATTTTCTGAGAAATTATTATGAGAAATGTTCTCATAACTATGAGCAAAATATATCATTATGGGAAATCAACATTATGAATAAATAAGTCATCATTTTGAGAAAGTTTCTTAATATTATGAGAAAAATATCTCATATTGGAAAAGTAAGTCATTATGATCAAACAATAAGTCATTATTTTGGGAACATTTCGCTGTATTATGAGATATTAAGTCTGTTTTATGAGAAAAATATCACATTAAAATTATTACTATAAATAAATAAGTCATTATTTTGAGAAAGTTTACCATTATTATGAAAAAAATATGTCATTATGGGAAAGATATTATTATTTAAAAAAATAAGTCATTATTATGAAAAAAAAAATAATTTTTATGAAAAAATCATATAATTATGAGAAAAAAATCTCATTATGGAGAAGTAAGTCATTATTATGAAAAAAATAAGTCATTGTTTTGAAAAAGTTTTTCTTTATTATGAGAAAAATTATCTTATTATGGAAAAGTCATTATGAAAAAAATAAGTCATTATTTTAAGAACATTTCTCAATTTTATGAGATATTAAGTCAGTTTTATGAGAAAGTTTTTCATAATTATGAGAAACATGTCTCATTATGGGAAAGTCATTATTATGAAAAAATGAGTCATTATTATGAAAAAAT